TCACACAGTTTTCCTCCAATAGTCCCCAAAATCTAACACCCTCAGCCCCTGTCCTATAAACCCTTTCGAGTGCTAAATAAAACAGGAGAAAGAGCATACTCATGCAAATTAGAAACCACAGCTGTATGGGGCAGAGTCTCACTGGGGCCTTCATCGCTGCTCAGTGCTGCCTCTGCTTGTCTTTGGTCAGCTTCCATTGACCCTTGTAAGCTTCAGCAAATGCACCATGAGTCCTCTACCTGCCTTCCCAATTCCCCTACACTCAACAAAGGACACTGCTTCCTAATTTGCCAAGAAAACAGAAGTCATCATGTATGAACTCCCCCAAATCTTCCATCGACAAATTTACTGATATATATAGTCACCCTAATGTCCTTCCCTCTAATCCCACTCCCATCTCTTCTAGAACCTTGCTCCATCTCTTGTAGCTTTTTTTTTTTTTTTTTTTGTGCTTAGAGTTGTTTATAATATTCCTTTATTAACTTTTTAATGTCTGTGGGAACTGTAGTTGTGTCCCCTCTTGTTGTTCAAGTGATTCGAGTGCCTCAGCTTCCCAAGTAGCTGGGATTACAGGTGCACGCCACCACATGCAGCTAATTTTTGTACCTGTAGTAGAGACAGGGTTTCACTATGTTGGCCAGGCTGGTCTTGAACTCCTGACCTCAAGTGATCTGTCCATCTTGGCCTCCCAAAGTGCTGGGATTACAGGCGTGAGCCATTGCACCCAGCTGTATCTATTTTTAACTTGTCCTCTCTACTGGTTCCTTCCCGTCAGCATTATAAACAAGTAAAATTGTTCTTGCTTAGAACAATTCTTTTGTTTTTTCTAGACAAAGTCTCGCTCTATTGCCCAGGCTAGAGTGCAGTGGTGCCATCATAACTTACTGCAGCCTCGATTTCCTAGGCTGATGATCCTCCCACCTCAGCCTCCCAAGTAGTGGAGACTACAGGCTCATACCTCCACATCCCGCTAACTTTTAAATTTTTTGTAGAGACAGGGGTCTCATTATGTTGTCCAGCCTGGTCTTGAACTCCTGGGCTCAAGGGATCCTTCCACAGTCTCCCAAAGTGCTAGGCATGAGCCACTGAGCCTGGCCTAGAACAATCCTGTTTTGACACTACCTTTTATTCTGGCTGCTAATATCCTCTTTATTATTTCCCCTTCCCACTCCTCACTCTAGCTAGCTGCTGCTTCTTTTTTGTTTGTTTGTTTGAGACAGAGTCTAACTCTGTCACCCAGGCTGGAGTGCAGTGGTGCAATCTCGGCTCACTGCAACCTCTGCCTCCCAGGTTCAAGAGATTCTCCAGCCTCTGCCTCCCACGTAGCTGTGATTACAGGCACCTACCACCACGCCTGGCTAAGTTTTATATTTTTAGTAGAGATGGGGTTTCACCATGTTGGTGAACCTCAGGCTGGTCTCAAACTCCTGACCTTGTGATCCATGTGCTTTGGCTTCCCAAAGTGCTGGGATTATAGGTGTGAGCCATGAGCCACTGTGCCCAGCTCTCACTCTAGCTGCTTATAAGAATATTACACACTTGCTAGCTCTAATTTTTTCTTTTTAAACCTCCCCCTGTTGTTTATGCAACAATGTACAAACTGACTGTTCTTCTAATCATCCCCCATCACTTCTCTCAATAATATAATTCCCAGTCTTCTTGCTGCTAAATCTACTGGGTATTTTCCAGGTCTCAGCTTAAGAAAATATTTTAGATAAATAAGGACCAGCAAATGTCAGTAACATTGAGGCATGCAGTACCCTAGTGGGCGTGCAGAATTAGGCTGCATAAGCTCTGTCATTCTCTTAGCCCCCTGACAAACAAATGTTTTACTACATCCTCTCAGGGGAATCACTGACTTTGTTTCACAGGATACTGAAGAAATGCAAGCAGTCTCTTTAGAGAAGAGGTTAGGCTGCCTGTCCCTGATAAGAGATGTGAAAAAAAAAAACACTTGCTCAAGCTTATCTGTGAACCAAGAGCCTTGGGCATGCACATATAGGTGCACAATGAAATCTGGAAGTTTTCTGCTTATTTGTTTGGAGACAGAGTCTCACTCTGTTGTCCAGACAGGAGTGCAGTGGCGCAATCTTGGCTCACTGCAACCTCTGCCTCCCTGATTCAAACGATTTTCCTACCTCCACCTCCTGAGTAGCTGGGATTCCAGGCACATGCCACCACATGTGCCTAATTTTTGTATTTTTAGTAGAGATGGGGTTTCACCATATTGGCCAGGCTTGTCTTGAACTCCTGATCTCAAGTGATGGTCCGTCTCAGCCTCCCAAAGTGCTGGGATTATAGCCATGAGCCACTGCGCCTGGCCAAAATCTGGAAGTTTTCCTAAGTTAGCAATTATTTTTTCGAGTTGGGGGTCTGTGGAGAGGGACACAATAGGAGATAGTGTGGGTCCTACCGATGACAGCATATGTGCCTGGGGGAAGGAATAGCCCCGCCCTGGAAATTTACCTGAAAAGGGAGTTCTCTAATTTGTTCCTTTAGTTTCCTACTCCGCAGGTTTGGGGATGTGGAAGGCTGTAGAAATATGTCCTAGCATTGTCAGGGAAGGTGCCCGGGCTTCTTGACAAAATGTCTTAATTACCAGTTCTATTCTTGGAATGTGAGCACTGGTTAGGTGAAAATTCTGGTTCAGTGGGGCTGAGAGATCTCAGGGAGGCTGAAACAGGAACAAGGTTTTCTTTTCTTTTTCTTTTTTTTTTTTTGTGAGATAGAGTCTCACTCTGTTGCCAGGCTGGAGGACAGTGGTGCGATCTCGGCTCACTGCAACCTCTGCCTCCTGGGTTCAAGCGATTATCTTGCCTTGGCCTCCTAAGTAGCTGGGACTACAGGCACACGACACCACGCCCAGCTAATTTTTGTATTTTTAGTAGAGACAAGGTTTCACCATGTTGGCCAGGATGGTCTCAATCTCTTGACCTCGTGATCTGCCCGCCTCGGCCTCCCAAAGTGTTGGGATTACAGGCGTGAGCCACTGTGCCCAGCCAGGAACAAGGTTTTCTACCTAAGATCACTTAGAGCATTAAAAGCAAGAAGGACAGCCAATTCAAAGTCAACTTGAAAAAGCCAAAGAGTTTGAATGACAGAAAACCAAGTCCAAATGATGAAGCCAGATACCAGAGCAAAGAGCCAGAGTGGGAACTCACAGAGATGGGGTAGGTTCACCTGGTGTCATGGACCAGAGTAGAAACTACCTAACTCAGCATCTGGTGTACAGTCAACAGTCCACTCCTTGTTAAAACAGTCAAGCAGAACATTGTAGGTGGTATGCTAACAATAAGAAACTAAGGTAGTTGGGATTTTTTTTTTTTTTTTTTGGGTCAAGAAATTCCGTATTTAAGGGAATGATTTAAAGAAGACATTATAAAGCCAATAGATCCAGGTTTTGAAATATTTAAGTAGGCTGGGCACGGTGGCTCAAGCCTGTAATCCCAGTACTTTGGGAGGCCGAGGCGGGCGGATCACGAGGTCAGGAGATCGAGATCATCCTGGCTAACACAGCAAAACCCTGTCTCTACTAAAAATACAAAAAATTAGCTGGGTGTGGTGGCCGTCGCCTGTAGTCCCAGCTACTCAGGAGGCTGAGGCAGGAGAATGGCGTGAACCCAGAAAGTGGAGCTTGCAATGAGCCAATATCGCGCTACTGCACTCCACCCCGGGCGACAGAGCGAGACTCCATCTCAGGAAAAAAAAAAAACAAAAAAAGAAATATTTAAGTAAAATGACAGCATGACACTAATAAACAAAAATATAATCTAAATTGTTTTTTATTTTTGAGATAGAGACCTGCTCTGCTACCCAGGCTGGAGTGCAGTGGCATGATCTTGGCTCACTGCAACCTCCGCTTCCAGGTTTAAGCAATTCTCTTGCCTCAGCCTCCCGAGTAGCTGGGCCTACAGGCGAGGCTACCACGCCCGGCTAATTTTTTGAATTTTTAGTAGAGAGTGGGTTTCATCATGTTGGCCAGGCTGGTCTCGTACTCCTGACCTCAGGTGATCCATCTGCCTAGGCCTCCCAAAGTGCTAGGATTACAGGCATGAGCCACCGCGCCCAGCCATAATCTCAATTCTGACAGGAGAATGTGGATGAAATACTGGGACTAGAAATGGAGAAATGGAAAAATGATACAAAAGGGCTACTTAAAAGCACTTTACTGCAGAGTAGAACAGCCAGTCCATAGGGATACATATCTTTAGGAGAATAAGGAGGAAGAAAATGCAGAAAAGGGACAGGGGGAGATACGGAGAGAGGCTGGAGACACGAATCGTGTGCATCACAAGCCAGGGTGGAAGAACATTTCAAGAAGGGAAAGTCAACACAATTCTAACTGGCTTTGTAGCCACTTGATTTGACTGGAAGGAAATTAGTGGTAATCTCCAAGAAAACAATGTTAGTAGCAGAGGTAGGAATCGGGGTAGTATCACAAAGGAGAGCAAGAGAATTAGAAATTAGGCTGTGGGTTGTAGACAAGTGTCAAGAGTTTGATGATAAAAGGAAAAAGAAAAGATGAAAAATAGATTAAAATGGCAGAAGATTTTTGACATGGAAAAGAAAGCTTTTTAAAAAATTTCTTCTCGGATCACCTCTCATGGAAAAGAAAGATTTAAAGAATACTGAGAGGGGATGTGTAAATAAAAAATATGAAGAAAGTGCTGTGTGGATATCTGCAATATCAAAAAAAATATGAAGAAAGTGCTGTGTGGATATCTGCAATATCAAGGTATTTATGGGTGTTTAAATGGATACCTTCAAAATAACCTCTGTTTTGTGTGCATTTTTAAAACAATAAGTATATATTATCTGTTCAATGAGAAAAAATAAGGCAGCCATTTCAACTTCAGAAAAATATCAAATATGAACTGATTCTTTTCAAAAGGCTTAGTATTCCTTAAATCCCAGGGGAGATTTTTGGAGCACTCCACCGAGTGGTTCAGAAGTGGCTGTTTTCCCTTATTAAGCAGCAGTGCCCAAGAGCGTGCACTTACCTGGATGAGTGTCCAGCAGGCTGTCTCCTTCTATCACCCACTCTTCCTCTAGCTCCAACTGCGCGATTACCTCTGGCTTATAAAGCTGATACCCTATTCATGGGAGTAACATACATCTTAGGAGTTGGTACTGGGAACAAAATTCTCTCTCAGACACATTCCCAACTTTTTCAGTCTTTAGAGCCTCTGGAGGGGAGACTTCAGAGGCAGCAAAATAAAGCTACCCATCTCAAACTCAATCAAGACGTTCCATCAGAGGAGAAAGAGCAGAAAACAAAGGTCTCTGACTCCAAAACTGCTTAGTGTTCTTCTGTCCCAGCCCAAACTATATTCACAAAAGCTTTGGAGGCTTCCACTAGTTCAGGAAATAAACCCACGTGAATGGCTTCCAGTTTCACAGGGATACCATCCTCACCCAGTGCAACCAGATTCCTGTAGTTCTCCAGCATCACGTCTCGATAGAGGTTCTTTTGGGCAGGGTACAGCTGGTCCCACTCCTCTTTGGTGAAGTCCACGGCCACGTCCTGAAACGTCAGTGATTCCTGAAACATCAAGCACATCCCTGCTCAGGCAAAAACGGTTCTTACAGGGACCCTCGGGGAGAGGGTGAAAGTGTAGCACCAGGATATCTAAGCCGTTGTGCTGAAGTCTTCAGGACTCTGAGTCATTCAAGTCAAACTTTCCTTTTAAAAAAATTAGGGCCGGGCACAGTGGCTCACGCCTGTAATCCCAGCACTTTGGGAGGCCGAGGCGGGCGGATCACGAGGTCAGGAGATCGAGACCATCCTGGAGAACATGGTGAAACCCCATCTCTACTAAAAAAAAAAACAAAAAAACCCCCAAAAAGTTAGCTGGGCGTGGAGGCAGGTGCCTGTAATCCCAGCTACTTGGGAGGCTGAGGCAGAAGAATGGCATGAACCAGGGAGGTGGAGCTTGCAGTGAGCTGAGATCACGCCACTGCCCTCCAGCCTGGGCGACAGAGCAAGACTCCGTCTCAAAAACAAACAAACAAAAAGACTTGAAAGTCAAAATTACTCCTTGATCTGTGGGTTGCAGAATGGCTGGTGTGTTAGTGGGCATGAAAACAGCATTAGTCTTCTTGTACATCTCCAGTAGAGCTCCTGGGTAACCAGGTGCATTGTCAATGAGCAGTTATTTATAGGGTATTTTTTTTTTTTTTCCCCCTGAGCAGTGGTTCTTAACAGTGGGTTTAAAATATTCAGTAAACCATGCAGTAAACAGATTTGCTGTCATGCAGGCTTTGCTGATCCATTTCTAGCGCACAGGCAAAGCAGACTTAGCATAATTCTTAAGGAACCTAGGATTTTTAGAATAGTATGAACATTGGCTCCATCTTAAAGTCACCAGGTGCATTATCCCTTAAAAAAAGAGTCAGCCTGTCTTTTGAAGCCATGCATTGACTTCTCCTTCTAGCTATTAAAATCCTAGATTGGGCTGGGCACGGTGGCTCATGCCTGTAATCCCAGCACTATGGGAGGCACAGGCAGGAGGATCACTTGAGGTCAGGAGTTTGAGACCAGCCTAGCCAACACAGTGAAACCCCGTAACTACTAATAAACAAAAGGAATGAATAAATAAATAAATAAAGTCCTAGATGGCATCTTCTTCCAATATAGGGCTATTTCATCTGCACTGAAACTCTGTTGTTTAGTATAGCCACCTTCATCAGTGATCCTAGCTAGGTCTTCTGGATAACTTGCTGCAGCTACTATATCAGCACTTGCTGTTTCACTTAGCACTTTTAGGTTACTGAGACAGCTTCTTTCCTTAAACCTCTTATAGCTTCCAACTTTTCTTCTGCAGCTTCCTTACCTTTCAGCCTTCAGAGAATTGAAGAGAGGTAGGGCCTTGTTCTGGATTAGGCTTTGGCTTAAGGGAATGTTGTGGCTGGTTTGATCTTCTATCCAATCCATTAAAACTTTCTCCATATCTGCAACACAGCTGTTTTGCTTTCTTATCATTCGCGTGTTCACTGGAGTAGCAATTTTAATTTTCTTCAATAGCTTTTCCTTTATACACATGACTTGGCTATTTGGCCCAAGAGGCCAAGCTTTTGGCCTATTTCAAATACATTTGACATGCTCTTCTCATTAATCTTAATCATTTTCAGCTTTTGACTGTCATTCCAACAATGTTCAAAGCATCTTCACCAGGAGTAGATTCCATCTCAAGAAACCACTTTCTTTGCTCATCCATAACTGGCAAAAAATCCCTGGTTCCTTTTAGTGAAGAATGCGATTCTCTTCCTTTCACTTGAATGCTCAGACACCATTGTAGGGTTATTACTTGGCCTAATTTCAATATTGCTGTGTCTCAGGGAATAGGGAAGCTGGGGGAGAGCGCGATGGAGGAACAGCCGGATGGTGGAGCAGTCAGAACACACAACATTTATCAGTTAAGGTTGCTGTTTTATATGAGTGCTGTTCATAGTATGTGTACCCATGTAACAAACTTGCACATTCTGTACACATATCCCAGAACTTAAAGTATAATTAACTATAATTAAAAAATAATAATAATACACTTGAGGAGGGAACACACAGAAGGATCTTCTGGGATATTGGTAATGTTCTGTTTCTTGATCTGGATTAAGACTGCATGGATGAATTCACTTGGTGATAATTGAGTTTTTAACACTTATAGTATGTGTATTTTTGTATGTTCCTTTACTTCAATAAAAGTGTAAAAAATTTTTTAAAAAATTGGCCAGGCATGGTGGCACACACCTATAGTCCCTCCTACTTGGGAGGCTGGGGCAGGAGAATTGCTTGAACTTGGGAGGTGGAGGTTGTAGTGAGCCAAGATCGAGCCACTGCACTCTAGCCTGGGCAACAGAGCAAGATTCCATCTCAAAAAAAAACAAAATAAAACAAAACAAAACAAAACAAAAGAAAAACCAAACTGGAGTGTTTACCAATTTATAATCCAGCTATACTACAATACAAATACCACACCCATAAATCTCTTTAAGATCAGCCATTCTCTCCTCTGGGTTCCCTGTGAGACTGCAGTGGCACGTCACCTTAACCATTCTTAGAAACCTTGTGTTTAAGAGAGGACAGGTCCTCTGAGGCACTGCCCTGGATCCTTCTGAAGTTGTGACACAGGGTATTATAGTCCACCTTTGGTGTGAATCCCTTTCTGAATTTGGTTATTATTTGCTGCTTGGACAGATGTGAATGAGAAAGTTTTCTTTTCAAACTCAGAAGTTCATTGTTCACTTATATTTACTAGTTCTTCATTGAGTTTATCTTTTTCCCTCACACTTCACTTTAGGCAGCCAGAAACTGCCAGTTGGCACTTTCAATCATCTACTTGAGAATCTCCTTAGTAGATCACTGAGTTCATTAACTATATTCTCTATTTTCCTTTTTTTTTTTTTTTTTTGAGGCAGAGTTTCTCTCTGTCATCCAGGCTAGAGTGCAGTGGTACAATCTTGGTTCACTGCAACCTCTGCCTCCCGGGTTCAGGTGATTCTCCTGTCTCAGCCTCCCGAGTAGCTGGGATTACAGGTGCAAGCCACCATGCCCAGCTAATTTTTGTATTTTTAGTAAAGACGGGGTTTCACTGTGTCGGCCAGGCTAGTCTCAAACTCCTGACCTCAAGTGATCCACCTGCCTTAGCCTCTCAAAGTGCTGGGATGACAGGCATGAGCCACCGTGCCTGGCCTCTATTTTCCTTGTTCCTGAAGGTAACAATGTTATCCAACATTTCTTCTTCAAGGGTCTTCTATCCTCCAGCTTCTAATAACATTCTCCTTACTATCCTTTGAGTTTTGACAAAGGCCCTCACTCGTTTTCTACCTTCTGCCCAGTGCTCAGTTCCAAAGCTAGTGCCCTATGGTTTAGGTTTTTGTTTTTGCAGCACTCCACTTTCAGGTACTAAAATCCCTAACAATTATCTTGCTGCATACCAAACCATCCCAAAACTTGGGGGATTAAAATAGCAAGTATCATTTACTTTACTCATAAATCTGCAATTTGGGCAGGACAAGGTGGGAAGGTTTGACTGGGATTGGAGGATTCACTTTCAAGATGGCTTACTCACAAGGCTGGCAAATTGGTGCTGGCTTTCAGCTGGGAGCTCAGCTAGGGCTGTAGGCCTTGGCTTCTCTCCATATGGGCTTTTCCATGGGCTGTCTGGATTTCCTCCTGACAAGGTGGCCGGGTTTAGAGTAAACATCCCAACAGAATGAGGTAGAAGTCTTACTGCCATTTATGATCTGCCTTGAAAGTCACAAAGCTTTGCATCTTCCAGTCACAGCCTTGCTGAGATCCAATGGAGGGCACACAGACCTCCATATCTATAATGGGATGAGTGTCAAAGTCACTTGCAAAGAAAGTATTTGGGATGGGAGGTATTTTGGCCATTTTTCTGAAAATGCAATCGGTCACATTCACACCAGCAGTGTAAGGTGTCTGTTTCCCCACAGCTTTGCTAACAGAATATGTTACACTTGCGGAAAATATGAAACTCATGGCAAATATCAAGCCTGATGATAAAATATCCAGCTTTCTCTAGTTTTTTTTTTTTTTTTTGAGGCAGAGTCTGGCTCTCTTGCCTAGGCTGGAGTGCAGTGGCCGGATCTCAGCTCACTGCAAGCTCTGCCTCCTGGGTTCACGCCATTCTCCTGCCTCAGCCTCCCGAGTACCTGGGACTACAGGCGCCCGCCACCTCGCCCAGCTAGTTTTTTGTATTTTTTAGTAAAGACGGGGTTTCACCGTGTTAGCCAGGATGGTCTCGATCTCCTGACCTCGTGATCCGCCCGTCTCGGCCTCCCAAAGTGCTGGGATTACAGGCTTGAGCCACTGCGCCCGGCCTCTCTAGTTTTAATACAAATTTCCTCTTGTTTTCAGTACAGATGAACACTTTTTCAGTGTTTAAGATCCATTTGAATTTTATTTGCTGTAAACTGTCTTTTTAAAAAATTTTTTTTTTTTTTTTGAGACAGGGTCTCACTGTCACCCAGCCTGGAGTGCAGCGGTACAAACACGGCTTACTGCAACCTTCACCTCCTGGGCTCAAGTATCCTCTGACCTCAGCCTACTGTGTAGCTGAGACTACAGGCGCACACACCACCATTAGTCCCCAGCTAATTTTTATGAAGTTTCACCATGTTGGTCAGACTTGTCTCAAACTCCTGACCTCAAGTGATCAGCCCACCTCAGCCTCCCAAAGTGCTGGGATTACAGGCATGAGCCACTGTCCCTGGCCTTTTGTATCTTTTTCTGTTGGACTCCTAATCTCTTGCTGATTTAGAGAAGTATTTTATATATTAGAAAGATTAGACTACTGTAATTTGAGTGGCAAAATATTTTTTTCAATTTGATATGTATTTTTACTTTGCTTATAGTTTTTAAATTTTTTTCCATGCAGATGCTTTTTTTTTTTTTTTTTTTTTTTTTGTAAGACGGAGTCTCACTCTGTCACCCAGGCTGGAATGCAGTGGTGTGATCTCGGCTCACTGCAAACTCCGCCTCCCGGGTTCACACCATTCTCCTGCCTCAGCCTCCCGAGTAGCTGGGACTACAGGCACCTGCCACCACGCCTGGCTAATTTTTTGTATTTTTAGTAGAGAAGGGGTTTCACTGTGTTAGCCAGGATGGTCTTGATCTCCTGACCTTGTGATCCGTCCGCCTCGGCCTCCCAAAGTGCTGGGATTACAGACATGAGCCATTGAACCCGGACACTTTTGGTGTTTTTAATTATGGCTTCTGGATTCTCAGTTGTAATTAGAAAGTTTTTCTGGTGAAAGTTATAAAGGAATTCTCCCATTTTTTCTTGCATAACTTTTTGTGGTTTCATTTTTCATATTTAAATCTTTGATCCATTTGAAGACTGTTCTGATGTAAAGTATGAGGTAGAGATCCAACTTTATCTTTTTCCAGATGTTTCCCCAGAAATCCCAACATCAATTATTGAACAAAGCAGCTTTTTATCACCGGTTTGAGATGTTACCTTTATCATATGCTAAATTCCCCATGTGTTTAATGAATGGTTATTCAGTGCTTCCTATATATATGCCAGGCATGGTGCTTGGGATGCACCAGTGAACAAAAGAGACAAAAACTCCCTGCCTTTATGAAACTTATATTCTAGAAAAGAAAGTAGACAACAAACAGCATAACTGGGTAAATTATATAGTATGTCAGAAGATAAAAGTAAAGTAGGGTAACGGTTCGAGAATGTGGGTGTGGGGCAGTTACACATTTAAATAGGGTGGTCAGGAAAGATGGCACTGCAGAGATGACATTTGAGAAAGAAGCTTGACAGGTTAACAGTGCAAAGGCCCCACGGCCACGTTTAAGGAAGAAGAATGAGGCCAGGATGGCCAGAATGAAGTAAGGGGAAGAAAAGTAAATGATGAAATTCCACAGGTAACAGGGCCAGATTCTACAGGACTGTTTAGGCCATCATAAGGACTTTGGGTTTTACTCTGAGTGAAATGGGAGCCATGTGCTTTGAGCAGAGGAATGACATGATCTGATTTACCGTTACCAATGGTGCCATTTCCTGAGTTCCATTCTTAGAAGTCATCTTTTTTCTTCCTTTGTTTTTACCCCTTAGCTAACCTCTGCTGTTTCTAAAGGAAAGCACTCAAATCTCCCTCCTTTCCTCCAATTACTACACTATTTTCTATCATTGAAAATGCTACAGTAGCTTAACTGGTTTTTCCCCTTTCAACTTCTGCCTCTCACAAATTCAGTTAAGATATATAGCAACAGGATGATTTTTATTGTAGAACTGGATTACTTATTATAATTCCCCCAAAGGCTTTCCACTGCACTCAGAGTAGAAGTCAGACCTGTTTTCATGGCCACAGGCTTTGTGTATTTAAGCCCTGCTCACTTCTCCAAGCTCACTTCAAGTCATTCTCTCCCTCCTTCCACGCCAACCACAGTGGCCTTCTTTTAATTTCTCAAATATACCCATGTTTTTTGCAGGTGATTTTTAGCATATGTCCAAAATGCTCTTTTCCACTTACTTTTTGTAGGTTCTATGTATCTTTTCTTTCTCATCTTAAATTTCACTTCCCCACAGTTTTTCCCTGATTCCCTAATGTGTATTCATAGCACCTTGTTTTCATTTTGTTTAAAAAACATCTCTTTTGCAATTTATTAGTATAGTTGCTAAATGTCTTTCAATAAGCTCCGTGGGTTTGGGGTCAGGTCTATTTTTCTCAGTGATGTCTAGCTGCTAAAAAGCATAATTTTTGTCACATATGAAATGACCAGTAGACCATAAGAAGAAAAAAGGAAAAGAAAAAAAATTTCTGTTACATACTAGCTGCTCAAAAAATATTTATTGAGTGAATGAATCATCTTCCTTCTAAACATAATAAATGGTTCCAGAAAATTAAAACTAACTCCTTGGGCTAGAATGTGGAAAAGCAGACATGCCACCTTAGTTCTAAATGTCTTTCTATTCCTGTCTTTGGGGAGTCTTACAGTTAATTAAGAATAAACCAATTGGGCCAGGTGTGGTGGCTCATGCCTGTAATCCCAATACTTTGGGAGGCTGAGGTGGGTGGACCAGCCTGGTCAACATGGCAAAACCCCGTCTCTACTAAAATACAAAAATTAGCTGGGCGTGGTGGCGCGTGCCTGTAATCCCAGCTACTTGGGAGGCTGAGGCAGGAGAATCACTTGAACCTGGGAGGTGGAGGTTGCAGTGAGCCAAGATTGTGCCATTGCACTCCAGCCTGGGTGACACAGTAAGTCTCTGTCTCAAAAAAAAAAAAAAAAAAAAGAATAAACCAAATGAATCTATCCCTTGAAACCCAAAGACCCCAAAGCACTAATATACACCAAATAAAAGCTCAGCTCTAGCTGGCAGTCTCCTTATTGTCCCTGCTCTCGCTCAAGTTTTATTTCCTGTCTGCAATGGTACCCCGTTTTCTCTAATCTCCAAACCCTACCTGCTGGTATTGGCACAAATTCAAACTCTGCCTTTTTCATGAAGTCTTCCCTCATCCCTACAGTCTCAATCAGACTTCTCCCTTCTCCCAGCACCGGTTGTATTTGTTTTCTTTTGCATTCACAGCAGCATCCAACATTATGCATTTTTGAGTATTAGTTGTATGATGTGGGTTTTAACAAGCCCCCTCATGCTGCGTGTGGCGGCTCACACCTGCAATCCCAGCACTTTAACAGGGAGAGGTGGGAGGATGGCTTGAGACCAGGACTTTAAGAGCAGCTTGGGCAACATAGTAAAAGCTTGTCTCTACAAAAAACAAAAAACAAACCAAAAAAATCCCCTTCAATGAGTTTATTGGTTACATAAGAATAATGATATCACATATTATTGGAATGATAGAAATCCTATCTGAAGCAATTGAGACTGGTATCTGATATGTTAATTTAAAAAGATGGCTAAATTAGCGATCCATAAAATAGATCTATTTTAATTTAAAACATATAAATGTGCATTCATTTTCTCATCTTTGGAAATAAAACTAAGCCTATTTTTTTTTTTTTTTGAGATGGAGTCTTGCTTTGTTGCCCAGGCTGGAGTGCAGTGGCATGATCTCAGCTCAATGCAACCTCTGCCTCCCGGGTTCAAGCGGTTCTCCTGCCTCAGCCTCCCGAGTAGCTGAGACAGGCACTCACCACCATGCCTGGCTAATTTTTGTATTTTTAGTAGAGATGGGGTTTCACCATATTAGGCTGCTCCTGGAACTCCTGACCTTGTGATCTGCCTGCCTTGGGCTCCCAAAGTGCTGGGATTACAGGCATGAGCCACTGCACACAGTCAGCTAAGCCTTTTCTATGAGTGATTTTAAAGACTGGGTACTCATACCTATAAAGAAACAGTTTCTGTTTCATGAAGTTGGAATAAGCAACTGACACATGGGAAATGATATTTGTGGAGGAATCCTGAGAGTTTTATGATTTTTCTTCAGTGATGTAGTATTGCTAACACCTAATTTGAAAGCAATTTTTCAAAAGTGACAGCATTTATCAACTCCTTCCAAAGCATTAGACTAATTTTCATAGAAACAATTCTTGTTGCACTCATACTCATCAGTTTACATAATACCCAATCAGATTATAGAATCATAACAGACTTAGGCCGGGCGTGGTGGCTCACGTCTGTAACCTCAGCTCTTTGGGAGGCTAAGGTGGGTGGATAACGATGTCAGGAGATCGAGACCATCCTGGCTAACTCAGTGAAAGCCCATCTCTACTAAAAATACAAAAAATTAGCCAGGCATAGTGGCGGGCGCCTGTAGTCCCAGCTACTTGGGAGGCTGAGGCAGGAGAATCATTTAAACCCAGGAGGCAGAGGTTGCAGTGAGCTGAGATCGCGCCACTGCACTCTAGCCTGGGCAACAGAGTGAGACTTCGTCTCAAAAAAAAAAAAAAAAAAAAAAAAGAGGAATCATAACAGACTTAAACAGGTTTTGGAAGAGATACAACAGAGGCTTGAGAAACATTAATTTGTGATTGATGTTACCCTCAGGCATACTTATTAATCCCATTAGCTCCAAGCAGTCCTAGGGGCCTGGGCATCAGTCACTGTGTTTACAGGGAGAATGCAAGCATTGTTTAAATTTTAGTGAGCTATTTAAGGATGATTAAAAGACAGTCCATTGTTTTCTTTTGTTTTCTTCACAACGTCCAGCACAGGCACAAATCCATGAAATTGAGTCTGGTGAAAATGCTGGAAGGAGGGAAGAGCTAGAAAGAGCTACACAGGTGAATGGAAAACGTGCTGTGGAGAGTGTATCATTTGTCACATGAATCTCCTGGGCTCTGGATTTTTGGGACGCAGCACTTCTGAGAAGTGAAAAAGTAACAGTGCCCACATTCTGAGAACTGCAATGGCATTTCAGAGGAGAGGAAAACCGAACTTACCTGGGATCTCACCATCTGTGAGCCATCATTCATTTCTTTCTCCTCCATGTTCCCCTCCTGAGAAAAAACAGCATTCTGAGAAGGCATAACCAAGAAAAAGAGAAGCATCTTGTTAATACACGACACGAAGGCTAAATTTAATCTGGGAGATTCTGCTTTGTGTAGGTATGGCAGACAGTACTGAGAAGCCCTCTAAGACATAAGCCTAAAGGCTGTGACGTCTCTACTTCTCTATGACATTGGGGAATTCAATGCAGAACTGTCTCTCTTCTGGGGTGCAACTCCTCTTGTTGTGGCATAGGGGAGCTCAGGGGCTTTCAACCCTGGCTAAATACTGGTGGCAACTTGAAAAGAAGCCCTACACTCAGAGATTTGGATTTAATTGATCTAGGGTGGGTCTGAGCAACAGCATTTTAAATTGTAAAGTCTCCAAGTGACTCTAAGTGTATATGAGAACTAGTAGGATGAGGCGATGGAGAGGTCATGGGTGAGGGCCCATTCTTACTCTTTACCCCCACAAGGAATGAATTCACCCCAAAGCGAACACTCTAGAGATCTGTCTCTCCTCTCCCCTAAGGTGATCCTTCCAATATACAAAGGAGACGTCACTCTTCTCATTTTTCCGCATGTTTACCTTCCTTTTTGAGTCTCCGGATTCAGTCTTCCACTGGGATTACACCTCTCTGCAGTTCTTATGTTGTAAAGTTGCCAAAGCTCTGCTATCTTCTACATGACAGTCAGGAGACGCACCAGGACCAGTAGCTTCAGCAGCTGGGGCTGCTCTTGAAAGTTGATTTCCAGTACCTTATGGGGAACAGCCACTCCCTGGTACTAAAGGTGCCCCATCTCTGATGAGAGCCTCAGGAGCCAATGGAGAGCCACAAGAATGATTTCTGCTTCCAGGGGTGGCCACTCTCAGAATCTTGCCTTGTTTATGCCGAGTTGAGATGTAGGGGCTCTTGAAGGTTGTTATTACCGTTTTTTCCCCTCCCTAAAGGCATCACTTCCTCATGTACAGACTTCACTATGGTATTCAAATCTGCATCCTGGCAGGGATCTTATAAGATAGAATTTTGGGTTGAAGACCTGTAATGAGATGCACCAGGGTCAGCAGAAGAAATCCAGCAGTCTCAGCTACCTAGGGGCTTACAGAGTCTGTAAAGAGACATGCAAACTATTCTTCACACAGACAGAGCACAGTTAGGTGTGGCATTCTTCAATCAAAAAGCACTTTTAGAATTTCTCAGATTCACACATTACAAAAGGCAGAGATGTGTACATGTGTCAATGACAACAAATTCAGCCTCAGTCCTTTTTCCTAACCTTTTCCAGAACAGAGAACACATGCTCCCTGCCTTAAGAAACAGTGATTGTTTTCTTTAGAAAGATGGAAAATCACGTGTTTCAACAACAGAGTAAGATTGTACTATTATTTGCTAATAATCATGAAGGAATCATTCTTTTTCTGTTCACAAAGGTTGACCTGAGAAATCTATTTTAAAATGTTGAGTGATGGAAATAAAGAAAGAGGCCATTCTGAGGAGCAATTTTTTAAAACAGAAAACTGCAGTTCCTGTGAAATGGTCCTGTGAGATGAGGCAGCCATTCATGGCCCAAGCATGGCAGGAATCTAACATTCCAAAACCCCTTCATTAAGAGGCAGACCTTTCAGGAGTGATTTAAAAGCACTTTAAGAAATAAGTTCTTCATTCCCCAAGCATAAGCTTGGAAGAAGCCCCACAGTCAGGAGAAGCAGACGGATTTTCCCCCAAGATGGGCGACTAGAGATGGCAGAGCCAGTTGTCTGTAGAAAGAACAAAAGTTACAGGTGAGAATGACTGTGGCTGAAGGGGAAGGCCGAGGGAAGAGTGCTGAAACCTGTCAGAGAACCCACGGGTAGAATCTGGGGCACAGTGGAGCCAGGCGTGGCAGTTCATGCCTGTAATCCCAGTACTTTGGGAGGCCGAGGCAGGCAGATCACGTGAGGCCAGAAGTTTGAGACCAGCTAGGGCAACATGTTGAGGCCCTGTCTCTACAAAAAATACAAAAATTAGCTGGGTGTGGTGGCTTGCACCTGTAGTCCCAGCTACTTGGGAGGCTGAGGTGGGAGGATCGCTTGAGCCTGGGAGGCAGAGGTTGCAGTGAGCCAAGATCATGCCACTGAACGGAAGCCTGGTCGACAGAGTAAGACCCTGTCTTAAAAAACAAAAACAAAACTAAAAAACCCTCAACAAACCAGGCATCAAAGGAACATACCTCAAAATAATAAAAGTCATATATGACAAACCCACAGCCAACATCATATTGAATGGGGAAAAGTTGAAAGCATTCCCCAAAGAACTGGAACAAGACAAGGATGCAAATTCTCACCACTCCTATTCAACATAGTAATGGAAGTCCTGGCCACAGCTATCAGGCAAGAGAAAGAAAGAAAGGACATTCACACTGGAAAAGAGTAAGTTAAATGATCTCTGTTTGCTGATGACATGATCTTATACCTAGAAAACCCTAAAGATTTGATAAATTACTTCAGTAGAAGTTTCAAGATACAAATTAGTGTACAGTGGCTCATGCCTATAATCCCAGCATTTTGGGAGGCTGAGGTGGGAGGATAGCTTGAGCCTGGGAGTTCAAAACCAGCTTGGGCAACATGATGACACCCTGTCTCTGTTTAAAAAAATACATACACATATATACACACATACATATATATATTCGAAAAATAAGAAAAAAATTAATGTAAAAAAATCAGTAATATTTCAATATACTTATAACGTTCAAGCTGAGAACCAAACCAAGAAGGCAATCCCATTTACAATAGCCACACAAAATTACCTAGGAATACATTTAACCAAAGTTGTGAAAGATCTCTATAAGGAGAATTACCAAACACTGATGAAAGAAATGGTAGATGACACAAATGAAAAAACATTCTATGCTCATGGATTTGAAGAATCAATATCATTAAAATGGCCACACTGTTCAAAGCAATCTACAGATTCAACACAATTCCTATCAAATTACTAATGTCATTTTTCACAGAATTAGAAAAAACAATCCTAAAATTCATAGGGAACCAAAAAAGAACCTGAATAATCAAAGCAATCCTAAGCAAAAAGAACAAAGCTAGAGGCATCACATTATGTGACTTCAAATTATACTACAAGGCTACAGTAAACAAAGTAGCACGGTACTGGTACAAAAACAGACACACAGATCAACAGAAAAGAATAGATAATCCATAAGTAAAGCCACGTACCTACAATCAACTGGTCTTTGACAAAGTTAACAAAAATATACATGGGGAAAGGACATCCTATTCAATAAATGGTGAGGGAAAACTTGGATATCCACATGTAGAAGAATGATACTGGACCCTTATCTTTTTTTTTTTTTTTTTTAAGACGGAGTCTTGCTCTGTTGACCAGGCTGGAGTGCAGTGGCGTGATCTCGGCTCACTGCAACCTCCGACTCCCTGGTTCAAACGATTTCTCCTGCCTCAGCCTCCCAAGTAACTGGGATTACAGGCACATGCCACCATGCCCAGCTAGTTTTTTTGTATTTTTTAGTGGAGACAGGGTTTCACCATGTTGGCCAGGATAGTCTTGATCTCCTGACCTCATGATCTACCCGCCTCAGCCTCCCAAAATGCTGGGATTACAGGCATGAGCCATCGCGCCAGCCAGGACCCCTATCTTTTACCGTCTACAAAAATTAACTCAAGATGTATTACGTTAAGACCTAAGCATAAGACCTGAAACTATAAGAAACCTGGAAGAAAACCTAGGAAAAACTCTTCTGGACATTGGCCCAGGCAAAGAATTTATGACTAAGACCTCAAAAGCAAACGCAACAAAAGCAAAGATAAATAACTGGGACTTAAATTAAGAAGCTTCTGCATTGCAAAATAAATTTTCAACACAATAAACAACAGGAGAAAACATTTGCAAACCATGCATCTGACAAAGGACTAATATCTAGAATCTACAAGAAACTCAACAAGAAAAAAAAAAAAAAACGCATCAAAAAGTGGGACATACAAGCAGCCAACAAACATATGAAACAATGCTTAACATCACTCATCAACAGCGAAATGCAAATTCAAACCACAAGGAGATACCATCTCACACCAGTCAGAATGGCTATGATTAAAAAGCCAAAAAACAACAGATGTTGGCCGGGCATGGTGACTCACGCCTGTAATCCTAGCACTTTGGGAGGCCAAGGCAGGTGGATCATGAGGTCAGGAGTTCGAGACCAGCCTGACCAACATGGTGAAACCCCGTCTCTACAAAAAATACAAAAATTAGCCAGGCACGGCGGTGCATGCCTGTAATCCCAGCTATTCAGGAAGCTGAGACAGGAGAATTGCTTGAACCTGGGAGATGGAGGTTGCAGTGAGCTGAGACTGCAACACTGTACTCCAGCCTTGGCGACCTAGCGAGACTCCGTCTCAAAAAAAAAAAAAAGGATGTTGGTGAGGATGGAGAGAAGTGGGAACATGTACACGCTGCTGGTGGGAATGTAAATTAGTATAACCTCAATGAAAAACAGCACAGAGACTTCTCAAAGAACTAAAAATAGAATTACCATTCAACCCAGCAATCCCACTATTGGGTACCTATCCAAATATAAATAAATTATTATATAAAAAAAGACACTTGTACTTGTATGTTTATCACAGCACCATTCACAACAGCAAAGTCATGGAATCAACCTCAGTGTCCATCAATGGATGATTCAATGAAGAAAATGTAATATACATACAACATGGAATACTATGCAGTCATAAAAAAGAGTGAAATCATGCCTTTGCAGCAACATGGATGGAGCTGGAGGCCGTTATCCTAGGTGAAATAATGCAGAAACACAAAATCAAAGACTGCACGTTCTCACTTGTAAGTAGGAGCTAAACAACGGGTGCATGTGGACATACAGAGGGGAACAACAGACACTGGGGACTCCAAAAGGAGGGAGGATGGGACAGGGGTTAGCGTTGAAAGATGACCTACCAGGTGCAATGTTCACTACTAGAATGATGCGTACATCAGAAACCCAGACCTCATTGCTACGCAACATGTCTATGTAACAAACCTGCACGTGGAATACCATACAGCCACAAAAAACAATGAAATAATATCTTCTGCAGAAACATGAATGAACTGACTTCAGGATGAAGCCCTTTAATGAACACAGGACAAAGAAAGTATCTGCAGTTTCCAGGGCCTAATATTTAAATACATGAAAGGCAGGCACAACTGGAAGGCAGTACACCTAGATATTTAAAAATCAAAAATCTCACTTCTATATTTAATCCCAGTCCCCAAAAAGAAGGAAACACCACAATACCAGGCTATGCAATGCATCCACAGTGCTCCTTGCTACAAAAGCTTTCAAAAAGGCCAATGAAGTTTTACACTGTTCTCAGCAAAAATGCCAACATAGGAAGCAAACAGGGAAAGAACACATTTAAAAAGGGCTGGCTAAAAAAATTCCCAGAAACAGGGTCTAAAAGAGAAAAAAAGTGGAGAAGACTTCCTTGCTCCAGAAAACGTGATAACCTAAATATAGGCTTTTAATTAAGCTGATTTCTGACCACAGAGCTCTAACATAAAAAGTCTTTCCAAATCTCTTATCAGATTTCAGCCGGGACAAACCTAAAATAGGTCTCTTCTTCAGGTTGTCTGGTTCTAAAACCAGCTTTTCCCCCCTAATTGTGCATGCAAATGAATTACTTTACATTTCAAAGGATCCCGTGTTGGCTACTGCTGCTTATGACCACCCCATGTTAGGTGGGTCCACTTTCCTAGATATTTACAAGAGGACGCCCCGTAAGTGTCATACACAAACCCAGCTGGTGATGGTCACAAATGTAAAACCAAGCCCCAATCCCCAAAAATAAAACACAGCTGCAATCTTAAAAGCATGCTCTATAAAATGAGACCATAGGTGCCACACTGCCAATCCCTTACCCTAACCTCCTGTCCCGAGGCAGAGGCAGAAAAACTTTGACCCGAACTTTCTGCTGTGACAGAAGCAGAAAAAAAAAAAAAAAAGCAGTTCTCTGCAGATATCTTGACCTGAATCTCCTGTCCAAAGACAGAGACCGAAGCCCTCACTCTTAAGGAAAAGGGAAGATTTGAAAAACAGCCCAAATAATGTCTACAACTTCACCCAAATAGTGGGAGGTCTGAATTCAGGAGAACTTACCAAAAATACCTGGTGGGACTGCTGAGGACGGGGAGTTCATGCTGGTGCCAAGCGCCACTTTCAAAGAGAAACACCAGTGGTGGGTGAGAGTCACTCTCAATCCTGCCTCCTTACACCAGGTATGTTGACCTAAAAGGAAGAAGTTGAGGCAAGGTTAATCTAAGTGGAGAGCTTATTTGGGCCAAGCTTGAGGATTTCAACTTGGGAGCACAGATTCAAGTTGCCATGAAAATACACTCTGATTAACAGCAGTTATAAGTGGATGATTTTTTTTTTTGAGACGGAGTCTCGCTCTGTCGCTCAGGCTGGAATGCAGTGGTGCAATCTCGGCTCACTGCAACCTCTGCCTCCCAGGTTCAAGTGATTTTTCTGCCTCAGCCTCCTGAATATCAGGGACTACAGGTATGCACCACCACGCCTGGCTAATTTTTGTATTTTTAGTAGAGACGGGGTTTCATCATGTTGGCCAGGATGGTCTCAAACTCCTGACCTGGTGATCCGCCTGTCCCAGACTCCCAAAGTGCTGGGATTACAGGCATGAGCCACAGCGCCTGGCCCTAAGTGGATTTTTAAAGGAAAATAACGAGCAGTTCCTGAGTTGTTTACCAAAAATCTATATCAAAATCACATAAGGTATTGTTTGGCTATACATTGTTTTTGTATCATAAATTCCAGGAATGTGAAGATAATGGGTGAGTCTGGAACAAAATGACTCTAAACAAGTGCGCCCTGCATGGGTGCAGTGGGGCGATGTTCTGCACCCAGGGTGCAGAACAGCTCAGACTGATCCATTTTTCTTTTCAGTACAAACTGAAGAGGGCTCCAGAGATTACCTAAATGTAGTTTTCCCAAAGTGTGCTAAATTAGTATTTTATATCTGTTACATTGGTTCCAGAACCCCCATGGATACCAAAATCCATGCCTAAGGAATACCAGTGAAGCTCACTGCCTGTGCCAGTGGTTCTGTCTGAGCTGTGCGTTAGACACACTTGTAGTGATTTTAAAATACACAGATGTAAATACATAGACGTCCAGGTTCCACCCAAGAGCTCTTAAGTCAGAATCTGCAGAGGTGAAATCTGCCATCTACATATTTTTTAAATGCCCCACAAGTGATTTTGATCCAAGCCAGAGTTCAGAACAACTACTGGAGCCTTTCATTTCCTTGACTTCCTCAACCTCAATGTTTTTCACCATCTTTCTACTTCAGTCACCCACTTTGGAGGTCACACCCCTTCTGAAATCTTTCTTACCTTAGAAAGCACTAGACAGTGGGATCTAGACTGGATAGGGAAGGAAGTGAAGACAAGAGTGGCTTAAAAGCAAAGAAATTAGGCTCAGCACAGTGCCTCACACCTGTAATCCAGCACTTTGGGAGGATGAGATGGGCGGATCATTGAGGTCAGGAGTTCAAGATCAGCCTGATCAACATGGTGAAACCCTGTCCCTACTAAAAGTATAAAAATTAGCCAGGTATGGTGGTGCATGCCTGTAATCCCAGCTACTCAGGAGCCTGAGGCACAAGAAATGCTTGAGCTGAGTGGGTGGAGATTGCAGTGAGCAGAGATCAAGCCACTGCACTCCAGCCTGGGTGACAGAGTGAGACCCTGTCTCAGAATAATAATAATTTAATGTCTCCAACATTAAAAACTCTCACTGGCCACACACCCCTTTTGCAACTACCATCCTCTCTTTTTTTCAAGGTCACAACTCTTCAAAAAATTGTCAATACTTTCTCTACTTCCTCATCGCCCATTTCTCAGTTCTCTATAATCTGGCTTTTGTTCTGCCCTTAGTACTCTGCTGAAACTGCTCTGGTTATGACCACCAAAAACCTTTATGTTGTTCATGCAATGGACCTCATTACTTCTTTCTTTCTCTCTCTTTCTCTCTCTCTCTCTTTCTCCCCTCCCTCCCTCCCTCCCTCTCTCCCTCCCTCTCTCTCTCTCTTTCTCTCTTTGAGTCTGGTTCTGTCGTCCTGCCTAGGGTGCAGTGGTGTGATCTTACCTCGCTGCAACCTCTGCCTCAACCTCTGCCTCCTGGACCCAAGCCATCCTCCCACTTCAGCCTCCCAAGTAGCTGGGACTACAGGTATACGCTACCACACCTGGCTAATTTTAGTAGAGGTGAGGTTTCATCATGTTGCCCAGGCTGGTCTCAAACTCCTTAGCTCAAGTGATTCACCCACCTCGGCCTGGTGCTGGGATTACAGGTGTGAGCCACCAGGCCTGGCCTGACTTCATTACTGCTTCCAAGACAGTATCTGATACTGGTGACTGGTGACTCTTGCTTTACTTTTACCGTCTCTCTCAGGGAGCTGTGATCTAATCTCTTTTCCTTTGCCTGCCTTTTCCGTGTTGCTGCTTCTTAGGTTTTCCCAAGATCTACTCTTGTTTCTCTGTAGTTGACTTACAGGGATCTTAAAAAGACAAAAACCTGATCGTATCAGTCCCACACTTAAAATTATTCAGGGCATCCTGCCACTCTTAGGTTGGAGTAGAAAGCCATAAAGAATCCTATGACTGACTGCTTCCTGCTCACTGCAGTCACTCTCCTGTTTGCTCGAGGCTTCATTCACACTGACCCACTTGTAGGTGCTGAAACGTGCCATGCGCCCGCCCTCCACCCCCATGACAACATGTACTCCTTTTTCAGGTCTCAGGGAAGATTTTGACATCATAGACCAGGTGAAGTTGCTCATTTATATCTTCCTTTTCTAGGTAGCATTTTTTTTCCTCTCTCTTTTTTTTTAGACACAGTCCGGCTCTGTTGCCCAGGCTGGTGTGCAGAGGCGCAATCTCAGCTCACTGCAACCTCTGCCTCTAGGTTCAAATGATTCTCCTGCCTCAGCCTCCCGAGTAGCTGGGATTACAGGTGTGTGCCACACCTGGCTAATTTTTGCATTTTTAGCAGAGACGGGGTTTCACCATATTGGTCAGTCTGGTCTTGAACTCCTGACCTCAAGTGATTCTCCCGCCTTGGCCTCCCAAAGTGCTAGGATTACAGGTGTGAGCCACCGCACCTGGCCATGGGTAGCATTTTTTTTTTTTTAATCACTGTAATTATTTGTCTGATAACCCATCTTTATACCTCACCATTGTGTTATGTTAATCTCCATGATGGTAGGAACCTGGTCTATCTGGTTAACTATTCTATTAATATTTTCAGTGTCCAGTGCCTGGCACATAAAAGGCACTTAATAAATATTTGCTACATTTGTAAATGAAAGGATTCTGGTGTTTGCTTTTCTTTTTTTAATTTTTTAAAAACTTTAAATTTTAAACCCATTTTAGACTTACAGGAAAGTTGCAAAATAGTGGAGTTCCTGTATACCACTCACTCTACTTGTCCTAATGTTAACAGTTTACAAAACCACAGTATAATGTGCAAAACCAGGAAATTAACACTGGAACTTTATTTTTTTTTGAGACAGAGTTTTGCTCTTGTTGTCCAAGCTAGAATGCAACAGCACGGTCTTGGCTCACTGTAATCTTCATCTCCCTGGTTCAAGAGATTCTCCTGCCTCAGCCTTCCAAGTAGCTGGGATTACAGGCACCCACCACCACACCCGGCTACTGGTACAACATTATTAACTGAAATTATTCACATTTCACTAATGTTCTTTCTCCACTAATGTTCTTTCTCTGATCTAGAATACACACTGCATTCAGTTTTATTTTTCCTTAGTTTCCTCCAATCTGTAATAGTTTCTTAGGCTGTCTTTCATGAGCTTCACACTTTTTAAAAAGATTGAAAAGCATTGTATGATGTTACATATATTTAAGAGATAGGGCAAAAATGGAGAGATATAGGTTATATGCCTGAGCATCAAGCCTGAGAGACCACCTCCCTGTTCAGGCCCAGGCTCTGGAGTTCATTCCCATCAATGCCATTTTGATTGTGTAGTAAGATGAAAATTTGTCTATAGTTGGGGTGACAAGAGAAATTCACACTATGTATCAAATAGCAAGGTGATGAAGTAAATTATAACAGCATGACAATGCAGGAGCAAGTAACCAATAGATTAACATTACTTTGTCTATTAAATGCTTCAGTGCCCTTGTATACTTACCAATGATTTAAATGGTTTAATAAACACCTAGTTTTATTACACTTTGTACTAGAATAATCTCAAAGATACAATATAATGTATTTTAGCAAAAGAGTAAAATTCTATCAATTTTCTATTCCTTTTTATATATTGACATTCTTATTTTATTCTTATTTTTTTGAGATGGAGTCTCACTCTGTCACCCAGGCTGGAATGCAGTGGTGCAACCTCAGCTCACTGCAACCTCTGCCTCCCAGGTTTGAGTGATTTTCCTGCCTCAGCCTCCTGAGCAGCTAGGATTACAGGCACGCGTCACCAAGCCTGGCTAATTTTTGTATTTTTAGTAGAGACGAGGTTTTGCCATGTTGACCAGGCTGGTCTCGAACTCCTGATCTCAGGTGATCTGCCTGCCTTGGCCTCCCAAAGTGCTGGGATTATAGGCGTGAGCCACTGTGCTCAATCATATTGACATTTGTAATTGTCATGTCAGTTGATGCAGCAAACTACATGTCATATGTTAGTAAGTGATACAAAGGTTTGCTCTGTAGAGTTAATAAGCTGCACCATGGCTGCAGTGAAATCGTAATATGTGATCTGTTTAATGAAGGTTAAATCCCTTGTGTTCACTTAATTCAGGAGCAGCCAAATGTAAGAGGTAAATTGGGCAAGGGGTGAAGGGTTGGTGGGTGCAGAGCTTCCATGCCCTCTCTGGGCATGGCAACCTCCAGACCTGTATGTGTTCACCAATCTGGAAGTTCTCCAGACTCCTTTTTTTAGTGTTTCTATGGAGGTTGCATTATATAGTCAAGATTGATTAAAATTGGTGACTTGGTGACTTTAAAATCAATGGTGACACTGGTGACTTTAAAATTTTTAAAAATTTCTAATTGACAAATAGTAATTGTATATATTTATAGAGTACAATGTGATGCATTAATATATATTTACATTGTTGATGTGGTTTGGCTGTGTCCCCACCCAAATCTCATCTTGAATTCCCACACGTTGGGGGAGGGACCCAGTGGGAGGTAACTGAATCATGGGGGCAGGTCTTTTCCATACTGTTCTCATGATAGTG